TGATTTGTAGCCCCCCAAACAGCGTCTGTCAGCTCCCCGCGCCGGAGGAAACGCTGGGTCCTCTGCTGCCGTGCCCGACGGAGCTGGGGAAGGGGCTGCCAGCCCTGCTCGGCCATTGGGAAGAGCTTCACCCCCCGGGCTGCCCCGCTGCAGCCCCCCCTTGGCCCCGCACCCCCACAGCCCCCCTGAGCCCAGTGCAGGGCAGACCAGACCAGACCGATGCCCCGTGTGGGGTCTCCAGCCACCAGCATCTGCTGTGCCGTGGTGCTGGGTTGGAGTTCCTGCGGCTGTTGGGGACCTTCCCCATGGGGGACTTGTCACCAGACACTTCTTAACCTTACGGTAGAAAAATGGGGGGTTTGGCTTCCCTGTTCCCAGCCCCTGCAGCCCAGGGTCAAGGGCCCACATGCTGAGCCACGTCCCACCCACGGAGCCTCTCAGGGATGCACAAGGATGGGTCAGGCCAGGGGATGCTCCACGGGCTGCACAGATCCCCTGGGATCAGGGGACATGCTCCTCCCAGGCACGGTCACCCCCGGAGCCTTAGATTGGGGAGCTGTGGGGTGCCCAGCTGCCCCACAGCTCCGCTCCCCACGCGGGGCTCGGGGAGGCTCCACGCCAGCCTTTCACTGCCCGGGGTGGGCTCCCTGAGCTGCCACCTCACCCCCCTCACCCCAAGGCTGTGAGGCCACGACACGGGGTGTCCCCCCAGCTCCAGCACCCCTGGGAAGATGGGAAGGGGGGAGGAGTTTTGGGTGCCAACCTGCTGCAGGGTCTTGGGTCCCGCTGTCCTGCCCCAGAGGCTCACAGAGGCAGTAGCACCCCAAACCTGGTGGAAAGGGGTCTGGGGGGGAGTGGAGAGGAGCTGCAGGGTAGCCCAAGGCAGAGCAGCTCAGGACCAGTGTCTCCCAGTGCCTCCCACAGCCCCGGCGGAGGCCGTGCTGCCATAGACGGTGTTTTGCTGCCTCCCTACGGGAGGACGCGCCGGCAGCACCGGCTCCTGCAGCCCCGCCGGCTCCTCCGCCAGCACTGGGGTCTCGCTGTCCCCTGCCCCGGGATGTGCACATGGGGGGGCCCGGGATGGGGTCACGCCATGGCAGCCACCTCTCACCGGCATCTCAGGCCTTGCACCGTGCAGGCAGAGCCGCTGCTCCTCCGGAGGGGCTCAGCGTGCCGCCGAGCACGGCTGCTGCGCAGCTCCAAAATCGCCTTCCCCATCCTATTTTACATTGAAGCAAGACAGCCGTGGCAGTCCCCGCGCCCGTCCTGCTCAGCTGCTGTCTCTCGGCAGAGAGCGAGGTCCGGCACCAGCACCGACACCAGCACATCGCCAGGGCAGCACCAACAGCCCTGAGAGAGCTGGTGCTGGGGCAGAGCCACAGTCGCATCCCTCCTGCACTGGTGGGGGAAAGAAAAAGGAAGCAAAACTCCGGCGATGTCTCCGGAAGGAGGAGGGAAGCTGCAGGAGGAAAAGGGGAAAAGCCACAGGCCTGATGGCTGCGGCTGCTGCTGTGAAAAGCAGAAGAGCAGCATGAGACCGGCGCGGTGCTGGCAAGGGGAGCTGGCTGGGAGTGTGGCACGAGGCGCGGCAAGGCCCCGGCACCGCACGGGAGGAGAGAGGAGGATTCTCAGGAGTCAGGACCTGCTCCAGTCAAATCTGAGAAGGTTTTGGGTGCTCGGGGCTGAAACCCTCCAGCCAGATCCCGACTACCCCAGGCTGCCTCTGCCACACGACCGTCCATCCTGCTGGCAGCTGGTTGGCAAGGAGTGCTCCCAGGAGCCGCGGCACGGCCAGGTCCCTGCTGCTGCCCTGTGCTCAGAGGAGCAGCAGCCACCCATCCCACATCCACCCAGCCCCGGAGAGGCTCTTCTTCTTCCCAAAGCTGCTCGTGTGAGTTTATTCTCCCAGCGCAAACTTTGGGCTGTTCGTGCACTGCGGGAGCTTGCACGCTCCGTGACAGCGAGGCCGCTCGCCACGCCATGGTCTGGGGTCAAGAGGCTGGGGGAGACCCCTCGCATCGCTCACCTCCCCCAGTCCCACCGATGGGGATGGAAGGGGGGGGGGCAAATCTCTGGTGAGCCCCCAGACGTGGCTGGACCTCGGCCCGTCGATGGCCCCACGGTGCTCGTGCTCCTGGCTGGGGCCGGCTGCTGCGGTGTGAGCGGCGAGCACCCGGCCGGCTCGGCTCGGTGCTCCCCAGGACGAGCACCGGCCCAGCAGCCGCCTCCTCCCACCCCGCGTGCACCTCAGAGACAGCGGCTGCTGGCGCCGCTGCCCTGCGAGAGCCCCCCTCGCCCCTCCGAGGGGGTTCATCAGGCCGAAGGAAACCTTTGTGCTTGTCTGCTTTCCTCCCGCCTTCCCCCAGGATCGTGGCGGCGATGGGCACGGCGGGGGAGGCTTGGCAGCACCGTGCTGGAGATTTCCCTTGCTACTACAGAGTGATGTCGGGGCATTTGCCGGCCAGATCCAGTGGCCACGCTGCCAGGGGAACCCACCGTGCTGCCTGGGCAGCACCACCCGCCCTTGCCCTGGCTGGGGACGGGGGCTCGTCTGGGGACCCGGGGCTGTTTTCCAGGCTGGGACATGAGGACAGACGTCCCGGGTTGCAGCTCAGACAGACTGCCGCCACGAAGGGGAAGGGGAGAGGTTTGCTGGGGCTGGCAGCGGGGAGGTGGGTAGCTGCCGGGTTTGTGCTGGGCAGCCCAGCGTGGCACCGAGCGCCTGGGGCGAGGGGTCTGGGTACCGGATGAGATGCCAGAAGTGATGGGGGTGTGCAGGATGGCTGGGACACCCCCCCACCCCCAGCAGTCCCCTCCTTCACCCTGCAGCTCGGGGACAGCCCCTCCACGGCTCCCCCTCGGTGGCCCTGGCGAGACAGCTGGCTTTGGGGCTGTTGCAACCATTTCCCGTATTGTGGGAGCCAATGATTATTAAAACCTGACAAGGGGGGGAAGGGAACAGAGCTGCGAGCATGGAAGCATTGCCAGAGCCAGGACATCCCCAAGGGCTGCGGAGCTGGCCGGGGGGGGGCACAAAGAGGGGGTTTGGGTTCTAACTGGTCCCAATGCTGCGGCCAACAGTGTGCGGGGAGGGAGGGGGAAAGGCCAGAGAGGGAGCTGGTGGTGCTGCCTGCGAGGATGGAGGGGAAAGGTGCACACCCACAGGGTAAACCTCTGTGGGGCTGTGACACCATGGGGCAGGTGGTGGCAGTGGGGGGGGAGAACCGGCGCTGCCCCACTCCTGCAGCCCTGCAGCACACAGGCACGGGGCTGGGGGGGGGGGACCGGGGAGCACCTGGGTGCCTGTTTGACACCGTCCTCCCCGTGCTTCTGCTGAAACCATCCTGACGGCTTGATGAAATCCGTCCCTCTGTGCTGATCCGCCAGCCTGCCACGGCTTTATATTTGGTGCCCATCCAGGCGGTTTGGGTGCTCTTTGTCGCAGAGGCCGGAGGACAGGGCGAGCGGCTGGGCACACGGTGCCCAGAGGGACGGTGCTGCCGGCAGGCAGGAGCAGCGGGCAGGAGCAGCCCCAGCCCCAGCCCACGCTGACGGCCCCGACTGCACACGTACGGCAAAACCTGCCCCTCGTTTCCAGCACATATTCGTCACTGGGAGGCAACTGGTGTCCCCACCCTATGAGAGCTCATCGAGAGCCCGCTGAGCTCATGTTTGTGTCCTGGCTGGTACATCTGCCCACTGACGCTGGAGCTGAGGCCCTTGTTCATTTTTGGACAGCTGCGAAGGACGCTTGCCTTGCAGGGACAGTCCCTCCCTGCAGCTGAAACCCAGCAAAGCCCCCACAGCATGAGCCCCCCTCCCACAGCCCCGCTCCTGCCCCATCCCCACCCCACAGCCGCTTTCCACGCCAAGCACAGGAACCGTGCAGGAACCACGAAGGAACTGTGCACCCCCCAACCCTGCTGGGGCTTCCTGCTGCTCTGCAAGGAGGTGACAGCAAAACCCGAGATAATCGTGAAACGTTCCCAGGCCCACACCAGGGTCACTGCCGCTGCTGCAGAGCAGCACAGGAGAGGGCGAGCAGCCACAGCTCCTTGTCTCTGGGTGCCACCAGGCTTGGGGACATCCCCTGAGGCTGGCCCAGCGAGGTCTGCAGCCCATCGTGCTCTCGCCCACCCCAGTTGCCCGCAGAGCCTCTCCTGGCCAGACGCGCTCCCTGCGGGGTGGCTGGTGCCTGCCTGGGCTGGGCTGGCCTGATCCTGTCCCCGCTGTCAGCAGGCTGGTGCAGTGAGGGGAAAAGCAGCCAGGCAGGAAACAACCAGTGATGGTTTCACTGATAAATTCAGCTTTTCTGGCTGCTGGTGGCTGTGGGCAGCCTGGTTCCTGGCGCCAGCTGGGCAGCGCTGCTGGGGCAGCCTCCCGCAGTGGGTCAGAGGGAGCTGGGCCAGGCCCACAGCCCACGGCCACGCCACGGGGACTGTGCCACTGCCCGAGCTGTAACAGGGTGCCCCAGGGCATGGGGACCCGAGGCAGGGGACTTGAGGATCAAGGGGATGGGCATGGGGGGTCCTCGAGACCAGGGTGTGGACACGGGCATGTTGGGGGACATGGGGACCAGGGCATGGACATGCAGGGGGACATGGGGACCAGGGCGTGGGCATGGGGATGCTGGGGGACGTGGGGACCAGGGTGTGGGCGCGCAGGGGGACATGGGGACCAGGACGTGGGCATGGGGATGCTGGGGGACATGGGGACCAGAGTGTGGACATGCAGGGGGACATGAGAACCAGGGAGTGGGCATGGGGATGCTGGGGGAGGACATGGGGATTGGGAGGGATACGGAGCGACCTGGCGATGGCCGGGGGGCTCCCGGGGGATACGGGGCTCAGGGCACGGCCAGGAACCCGGGGTGGCCACGGGGCCCCCGAGTGGGGTGCGCGGGATGGGGCAGCCCCCCCCCCTCCCCGCGGCGGGCCGGGCTGTCGGAGGCCGCCCCGTCCCCTCGGAAGCGAGAGGAGGCGCGAAGGGGCCGGGGGGAGGCGGGGCCGGGCCGGGAGCGGCGGCGGGACGCGGCGGAGCTGCCTCTCGCCATGGGCGGTGGGTACCGGGCCCGGGCCCCGCCGGGAGCGGGGCTGCTGCTCGCCCACGCCGTGCTGCTCTGCGCTGCCGGGAGCGCCGCCACCGACGGCTCCGGTACGAGGGGCGGGGGGGGCACCGGGAGGGAGGAGGGGGCACCCCGGGGCAGCCGGTACCGGCGGGAGCGAGCGGCGACATCCCGCATCGGGGGGGGGACCAGGGGAGTGAAGGGGGGACCGGACCCTGGGGGGGATCCGGTAGCGGGAGATGCGAGGGGGGACACCTGGTCCCGGGGGGAGCGCAGGGGACGGGGGGGCGGTCGCCGGGAAAGACCGGGGCGTTTGCCCCGAGCCCCGGCTCAGCGCCGCGGGACGGGGCCGGGTCGTGCCCATCGCCCCACGCCGGTCCTGTCCCCGCCGGGCCGCGGGCAGAAGCCGCTGGGGCAGAGTCCCCGCAGCACCCGGAGCTGGAGGATTTGGCACGTCACGCCTGACCGGAGAGTAAAATCACCCGTGAAAAAACAAACTTCCCCTCTCCCTCCCGCTGCGGCCACGCAGGGACCACACGCAGGGACCCGAGGAACCGTCACTGGCCTGAGGGGCGGCTGCACGACAGGGCTGGGCTCCCGCCAAGCCCCCCGCCGTCCCGGGACTGCGGCCACCCTGGGGTGACCCACGGGGGTGAGGGCCAGCACCCTGCAGCCTCCCAGCTGGGATGGGGCTTCTTGAAAAAAAGGGGGACAGTATCCATGAAAATCCAGCAGCCAGGGCCCTGCCCTGCTCTCCCCAGACACATACCAGGGGAAGCTGCGGTTTGGGGGTGAGGATGGAGGGCTGGGAGGGGCAGGGATGGCTCTGGTGGTCCGAGCCATCGTTTCATTCCCGTGCCCACGTGCCGCAGCAGTTCACGGTGTGCTGGCACGGCCCCGGTGGGCTCAGGCTGCCCGTGCACCTGGGGATGTCAAGGAGCAACGCTGCTTATGGCAGGCATCCACAGAGTGCGCTGGGAAATAAAACCTCATCTCGAATCCCCTCAGCTCCATCCCCAGCTCCTCCACTGCAGTTTCCTCCAGGTCCTTAACGGGGCATTGACTCCAGTCCCTCTTCCGTGAAATGACCTTCCTCCCCGCAGAAAAACGCCGTCCCAGCACGAAGCTCGTGGCACTTTGCAGGTTTTACAGTTCCTCGCTGAAAGAATGTTCTCAGCAAAACCAGCCCAAGCACGTGGGCTGCATCCCTCGGCGGGGCTCCGGCCGGCTGGGGTGCAAACGGTGCTGATGGTGACCCTGTCCCCAGCAGCCTGCCCGGGTTCACCCGCCGCTGTGGGAAGTCACACGCCCAAACCCGAGAGCCCCCAAAACACGCACAGGGTGAGCGTGTGGAGCTGAGCAGGGACACCCCCCCACCCCCCCCCCCCCACACACCATTGCAGGGAAAGTGGGAACTGTGGGAGAAGCGACCCGAACCGAGCTGGTTTGGGCTGGGCAGGCAGAGCTGGGTGCCGGAGCGGGGCTTGTCACCCTTCCCACCACCCACGTCCCCTCCCCACAGCCATCCTGCTGGGCGAGGGGGGACCTCTCCGAGCTGGAGCAGCAGGTCCTATGCAAAACCGGTGACCCCGAGGTGGAGGCTTCCCTTTTTCAGCAGCGTACATGTCCGAAAGGGGAACATGACTCCGGGTTGCAGCGCTTTGAGGCCCCGTGGCTGTGGCTGTGCAGAGGGTGGCCTGTGCCTGCTCTGCGGGCGACGCCGGGAGTCGGGGTGCGACCCGGCGGGAAGCGGCAGGTCCAGCTGCTGGGGACAGCAGGGCTGGGTGCCACCAGCATGGCCAAACCTCTCGGGGCTGGTTGGCCTCAGGCTGAAGGGTCAGAGCCAGGAGCAACAGGAGCCAACGCTGGAGGAGGAGGGCTGGTGCTGGGGAGGGGGTGGGCACCCCGCTGCGGGGCCCGTCGGGTCCGTCTGCACAAAAGGAGGGACCCCATGGGATGGACCTGGCTGTCACCCCACTGGGCTGGACCACAGGTGGTGGGGACAGGCAAGGGACAGCCCCTGTGCAGTTCTTCCTCCGGCTTGGCCATCTCCCAGCATGGGACTCATCTCCCGGAGAATCCTCCTGGGGACTGAGGACAGCCAAGAGCACCATCTGTGTGTCCTGCTGGGCACAGGACAGGGTCTGGGGACCCACTGGGGACCAGCATGCCTGAAGCAGCTGGGATGGGCTCACACTGGGATGGCTCAGCCATGACCAGCCCCTGGAGCTGAGTGCTGCATGGCGGGATCAAAGCAAATTTTGCTACGTGGGGGAAAAAAAAAAAAAAAAAAAAAAGATACCTGGGATATACATGAAAGGATGACTCTCTTCCAAGCCTTAATTAGGGAGGGAAATATCTGACTGAGGAATTAGGGGAACTGCACTGTGCCCCAAGGTGCTGTCAGCAGAGCGGCTGGGCTCCTGCTCCTTCTCAGCACTGCGTCGGGAGGACCACAGCCCTAATCTTGCCCTCGGATCTGCTCTTGGAGACCAAATAACAGGATGTTGGGCTTCGGCTGGGATCTGCTCGCTCAGTGTTTGCTGCTTAGAGCATTTCTACTTGACTCCTTTCTGGCTGCACCTTGGCTCCAAGCCATGATGTTTGCTCTCTGTAGAATTTTCCTTTGGCTGTGAGCAGAGCCAAGCCGGTCCCATGGTGTTTCTCTGTTTTCCCCTGCAGATATTACCCTTGGCTGCTGGCTTGCCTTCAGGGGTGTAGTTTTACACAAGTGTTCTTGCAAAATAAACCTGACTGTCCTCTCCACAGCCATTCCACGTTTCACCCGTTGGCAAATGGGAGGTGCGGCAGCACCCGAACATCACCAGCCCCGTGGTGTGAGGGCAGAGGAGGGTGAGGGGATCCCTGGCCGAGCCGCTTCTGATTTATGCCTGTATCGGTAGCTCGTCATCAACTGCCTCCTCCCAGCACAGCCCCTCTGTAACAGGGGACATGAAGCTTCAACCTGGGCTGCAAAGTGGGGCTTGTGGCCACACCGAGAGCCCCGGGGCTGTGTCTCCCCCCGCCAGTCCTTGAGGCTGGCAGCCCGGCTCAGGTGCGGGGAGGAGGATGGCCGAGCCCCACGTGGCATGCAGCTGCGGCCCTGGCACGCTGCTCTGGCTCGTGGTGCCGCCAGAAGTGGTTGCAGATGACAATCTGGCTTCACTGCGTGTGCTGTGAACAGCTCGTGGGCCTGAGGAAACCTCCCTGAATCAGAAAAACAAGTGCGTGAGCCTTTCATCATCATCAAAGCCTGCGGCCGTGGAGCCGTGTCCCATCAAGCAAGCCTGCTCCAGCCCGGCCGTGAGTCACCCCAGGTTGCTTTGGCTGCGGTTCTCAGAGCAGATGTTGTCCCCAAAATCTGGCATTTTTCAGCAGTGATGGAATGTGTTCACCAGCTCTGCCGTCACGGAGGGGGCTGTGCTCCAGCGTGGAGGCTGGCAGCAGCTTTCCCCACACCTGGAGCCATCCCGGCAGGGCTGGTGCAGGATTCCTGGCCGGGGTGGGGAGAGGCACGGAGCCACCGCGGGAGGGAGGCTCCGAAAGGACGTGAGAGGGGTTGCTGTCACGGGCCAGGACATGCTGCATCCCCCTCCCGCCCTTTTGGCTGGAACATGCCGGTCCCACCCCACCTCCGGGACCCCGCGGCGCTGACACCGCCGTGAACCGCGGGAGGAGACAGCTCGGCCAAGCCCGGCGTGCTGCCAAACCCACCGTGGAGGAGCGCTCGGCCACGACATGCCATCGAGCCCCGCGCCGGGGAGAGCCCCGGCAAAGCGAACTTCTGGCTTCCCACGTCAGCTGGAGAGATGGGGCAGGACACAACCTCCCGTGCCAGAGCCCGCGGCGTGGAGCATCCTCCCGGTGCCCACGGGCAGCCTCACATCCTCCGGGGTTGCACCAGGCACGGCACGGGGCTGCTTTTTTAGGTGCCTGCAAAGTTTGCAGCGGAGTCAAGTGCAGAGCTGCCGACGCAGGAATAGCCCGGAGGATGCACCAGCTGTGCTTCAACACGGCCCCCTTTGCAAAAGTTCCCGTCTTGCAAAAAACCAAACGGGTGGTCTGACCTTAATTTGTCTGAGATAAATAAGAACCTGCCTGCTGCCTCCCATCTGGATACATGAAAAGATCTGAGATGAAAGGGAGTCTGATGGAAGGGCTGGGAGCTGAACGCGTCTTTGCAAGCCGGCCTCCGTGATGTGAGGGATTTGGGGTCACAGGGCTGAGCGCAGCCGGGGCAGAGCTGCTGGCCAAGCCCTGGGCTCCTGGGCAGCCACTGCCCTGCCCCCCAGCCTGTGGCTGGCTGGGAGACTGAGCAACTTTACAAAATTAGCTTTATTTTTCAAAGATGTTAATTTTTAGCTGCAATTTCCTATGGAAAAAATGTGATTTCCATTCTGCGTGCCTGCCCCTCCACCCCAGCATTGGAACCTGTTCCCAGATTCCAGAAGAATCTGAACCAGGTCTGGCAGGGGCCTGGTGAGCTCATGGACCACACAGAGCAGCCGATGGACCTGGGAGACCTTCCCTCATCAGCCACGACACTGGGCACACTGGGAACGGCTCTCGGTCCCGTCTAGTGCTCCGGGCCCGCTACCTGTCCCTGTCCCCGCAGCCGGTGGCACCGGAGCTGAGCGCTGTGGTCGGTGGCACCCCTGTCCCCGAGCGCTCTGCGTCCCGGTGGGGCTGGTGCCTGCCGTCCTGCCGATGCGCACCAAAACCCTCAGCCAGGTGTGCTCCAGGAGGTCTTGTCTCTTGGCACTTTGACTCTCCTGGCACAAAGGCTCCATCCCGGGTCTGCGGGGACCGACCCAGCTTGGTGAGGTTGAGGTTGGCACCGGTGAGGCTTTCGGGAGGCAAAGGACATCTGAATTTCCAGCCCAGCCCTTGGGCTAATGAAGGGCAGAGGGCTCTCCGGCTGCCCCAGCTCTCGGCTCTCATTCTCCCCTGAGTTTTGCTGCTCTTGGAGGGGCTGAAAATGGTGGAGTTACAAAGTGCTGCGGGCTCCAGGGGGGATCAGAAGGGCTTGGTGCGGATGGATGGGTGCCTAGCGCTGCCCCAGAGCCGGGAGCTGTTTATGTCACAGGGTGGGGGGGTCTCCCTGTGACCCACGGGATCCCACTGCCGTGGGGTGGGCGGGAAGGGGGCCCTTATCTCGCGTCTGCAGGCTGGGGCACGAAGGCGGCGGAGGAAGGGGCTGGGCGGCAGCCGGGGGAGCGAGCCCAGCGGTCGGCCCTTTTCATCCACTCCGGGTGGCGGGAGCCGCTTGCCAAAGCAAACTTCAGCCCTGACAATTGTCATTCTTATTAACACCGGTGCTGTGTTTGCACTGCTTTGTCCCACGCTGGGGCTCCGGGGGCACAGCAGCCCCTTGTGCACGAGGCTGCGGCCCTGGCCGCGCAGGAGACCGTCGTGACATGGCCCCGCGGTGACACGGGGCACCGGGCAGGGCACAGCCCCGGCAGCAACAGCCCGAGCTGGGACCGGGGCTTGCAGCACCCATCGGTGCATCACCACGGGGTGCGGACGGTTCCTTTGGCAATCCCGAGTGTTTCAGACAAGGGTGGCTTCCACAAGGAAGGAGGGACGGTGCCGAAGCAATGCTCCTGCCCAAAATGCGTCACCAGGGAGGTAAAAGCTGAGCAGTAATATCTACTGCAGGTCTGATATTGCAACGGCCAGGGCAGTGCTCGGCTCCTGCAGCACGCCGTTAACACCAGCCTGGGCTCACGGAGGTGGCTGCCGTCAAAGCTCCTCATCTCGGGGAGACCCCCCCGAGCTGGACCCTGCTCGGCGCTGCGCGGGGCGGCGTCACCCCGTGAGGAGCAGGGAGCCGCTGGCCGCGGTGACGCTGCGGCTGGGTGGTGATGTCTCTCTCTCCCCGCAGTGAATCCCTGTTGCTATTTCCCCTGCCAGCACCAAGGGGTGTGCGTGAGGGTCGGCCCGGGAGGTTACGAGTGCGACTGCACGCGGACGGGATACTTCGGGGACAACTGCACCTCCCGTAAGTCCCTGTCGCCCGCGGGACCTCTGGCCCCCGTGGGTCCTGGCGCGGCACGCTGCGCCTGCAGCACGCCTTCTCGCCAGCGTGGGTGGGCCGGGGCTGTTAATGGGCTTCGTTAGCGGGGTGAGCAATTTGCCTGGTCTGTCTCCCCCAGCCGAGCTCTGGACGCGCCTCCACGACCTGCTGAAGCCCAGTCCTGCCTTCTACCACTTCATCCTGACCCACTTCAAGTGGTTTTGGGACATTATCAACAGCACCTTCATCAGGGACACGCTCATGAGGCTCGTGCTCACAGGTGAGGGGTTGGAGCGGGTCTCGGGGTGCAGCAGGACTTGGGGACCCCCCCGGGGCATCAGCAGAGGTGTGGGTGGTGTGGCTGCAGTGATGCTGAGCAGCTCCCATGGGCACGGTGGGCAGCGGGATTGAGTCACCTCACTGGGAGACCTAGGGAGGTTGTCACCCCATCACCCCATCACCCCATCACCCTGCCTGGGGGAGGCTGCCAGCCAGCTGGAAAACAGGAGCAGCTCAGCACACTGCGCCCCCCGGGCCAAAGGGTTCTTAGCAGCTGCACGGAAAGAAGCCTGTGGAAATATGGCCTCTGTTACTCATGTCCCTACATTCACCTCTTTGCATAAATATTTAGGTTCCAGCCCTTGGAGCCATAGCAGCACATTTGCAAGGCTCCGGCTGTTGGTTTTACCATTTCTGTGTGGTTGTCATCTCATTCATCATCCAAGAATCCATGTGGTGCATTAGTACAATCCCTCCTCTTCTGCGGGGAATTGCAGCCTTTAAAAGGCTCAGAGCAAACCCCGGGACGCCCACATGCCTCCGCTGCCGGTACCTTCCTGCTTTCGGCGTGTCAGGGGAGGGCAGCTGGCAGCACGGAGTGGGTGGGCAGGGGCTGGGGGCAGAGCCCTCGGGGTGCTGCCCCGTGCCCCACAGTGGTGACCCCCCCCCCTCTCTCTCCTTTCAGTTCGTGCCAATCTCATCCCCAGCCCCCCCACCTTCAACTCTGACTACGGCTACATCAGCTGGGAGGCCTACGCCAACGTCAGCTATTACACCCGCGTCCTCCCACCCGTGCCAGACAACTGCCCGACGCCCATGGGGACCAAAGGTAAATGGCTGGCCCGGGGGGTCCGGCATTGCGCGGTGCCAGGTGTGGGGCTGAGTTGCTGGAGCAGCACCCTGGGTCTGTACCTGGTGCAGCATCGGTGTTTCCCACCTCCCCATGCTCAAGTTTTCCCTGCCGTGGACACATCTGCGAGGCACCGCTGGAATGCCACGTGCCACCGCTGTCCTGCCCGAGCTGGTCCCACGGGCAGGAGGAGCTTGATGGCATCTGATGTGCTGCTGGGACAGCTCAGGTTGAGCTGCTGGGCTGTGTCGTAGCCTGTGCAAGAGGGCTGTAAGGTGTCTCTGCAGAGGAGTCAGTGCCTGGTGCTGCAGCCGACACGGCAGCTCTCGCCGACAGCCCCGCAGCCAGCGCCAGTACCCGGCTGGGTCGGCGTGGGGCATCTGCCCTCAACCTCCATCCTTTGCAGGGAGGCAGCATCTGCCCGACCCCCAGCTCCTGGCGGAGAGGTTCCTGCTGCGGCAGAAGTTTGAAGCCGATCCCCAAGGCACCAACCTGATGTTTGCCTTCTTCGCCCAGCATTTCACCCACCAGTTCTTCAAGACGTCCGGGAAGATGGGACGCGGCTTCACCAAGGCGCTGGGCCACGGGGTGAGGGGTGCTGGAGCTGGGGGTGCGGGGGCGTGTGGGGAGCCAGGAGGGGGACCGGGGTGCTCACAGCCTTTCGGAACAGCCTTGATGCCTTGCTGTCTTGGCAGGTGGATCTCGGGCACTTGTACGGGGACAACCTGCAGCGGCAGCACCAGCTGCGACTCTTCAGAGACGGGAAGCTGAAATTCCAGGTACCGCCTGGCGCGCCCCCAAACATCTCAGCCCTGTGATCCAGGGTGGTTTGAAACCCAGGTCCTCTGGCAGCTCCTGGGAGACCCCAGCCCTGATGCCCCATGTGGCTGCTGGCCGGAGGGACAATATTTGGGGTGTAGCTGTTCTGACGGCAGCAATCCGGGGCTGTATGAGGGAGGCGTTTCTGTCCTGCCCACAGCGTGGAGGGGAGCAGCCAGGGTGCCCGCAGGGAGCCAGGTCCTGGCTGGGCAGGCTTCCACTGCGGTGGTTTTCTCCCCTCCTCCCTTTCTGCCATCCTGTTCTTGTCTCCCCAAGGTGGTGGATGGAGAGGTGTACCCCCCCATGGTCACCGATGCTCCGGTTCACATGGTCTACCCATCCGACATCCCCAAGGAGAAGCAGCTGGCGATGGGGCAAGAGGTGTTTGGGCTGCTGCCGGGGCTCTGCATGTATGCCACGCTCTGGCTGCGCGAGCACAACCGCGTCTGCGACGTCCTGAAACGGGAACATCCCACCTGGAGCGATGAGCAGCTCTTCCAGACGGCTCGTCTCATCCTCATCGGTGAGGACCGGTGGCACCGCGGGGCACGGGCACCACGGAACCCCGTGGCCCACCTCCCAGCTTGGCTGTTGGTCGGTCTGCGTTTGAGGATGGTGGCCAGGCTGGCTTTAGAGGCTGGAGGATTTTCTCTGGAAGCCTTCTGGGGATCGTTGGCTTGGGTCTGTATAGCAAAAATTGGCTTTGGTCCATCCAAAAAATTAATTTTGAATAATTTTGTCATCATTTGGAATGATTTCATTTTAATGTTCATTATAAATTTACTGTAATCTCATGAAAATGCCCTTTTTACCAGTATCCAGACAAAAGCCATGTCACCATATTCTCTCTAAGAAGCCTATCAAGGTCAGCTTTCCTCAGGAACCATTTCGGTTTCAGCAGACTGACCTTTGCTGGTGAAAAAATAATTCACTGGAAAATTCCCAACCAACTCAACAAGCCCGTAGTCAGAAAGGTCCCAGTTGGTGGACGGGTGCTGGGACTCACTGCCCTAGCCTGTGGGTGACATCTCGGGGTGCAGAGCTGGTACCTCTGGCTGCTGCCAGCCGACGGCCGCTTCTCTCCCTCCTGCCCAGGGGAGACCATTAAGATCGTCATTGAAGACTATGTCCAGCACCTCAGCGGGTACTACCTGAGCCTCAAGTTTGACCCCGAGCTGCTGTTTGGGACACAGTTCCAGTACCGGAATCGCATCGCGGTGGAGTTCAACCAGCTCTATCACTGGCATGGGCTGATGCCCGACTCCTTCATCGTCCAGGGGGAAGAGTACAGCTACGAGCAGTTCCTCTACAACACCTCCATGCTCATGGACTATGGCGTGGAGGCGCTGGTGGAGTCCTTTTCCAAGCAGATTGCAGGAAGGGTAAGGTCCTGCTGTCCCCTCCCTGCCCGCGCCGGGGCTGTGGGACCCGGGGCGGGATGCTGGTGGTACTGTAGAGGCAGTGCCGTTACCGCAGTAACGAATGTCCCCGTTTGCACGTCACACATAGAGTCTTCTACCCAGGGCAGCACCTGAGGGACATGCCTTGAGCCTTCCTCACAAGCGCCGGAGCAAGGCTGGGCCTTGGCAGCCCCGTTTGCTCGCTCTTGGGACTGTAGTAAACATCAGGGTGATGCCAGGAGCCTGCGGTAAGCCGGGCTCTCCTGGCCCGGAGCGGGCTGTGGAGCAGCCTGGGCATGGGAGCAGCTTGTCTGGCACTGTCCTTTGCTGCCATCACATGGATGTTTTCTTCCAAGCGATTACATCTGCATTTCTGACCCTCTGCTTGTGCAAAACGGCAAGGCTGAGGCACAGACCCGCTGCAATTTAGGTGTTTGGGTTCTCCACGTGACCCCAAACCCCCGTGATCTCTCCCATTCTCCCAGGCCAGTGGGTCACCGTCCATCCAGGGCTTCTCCTGCGCCATTCCCCGACCTGCCCTGGGAACAGGACTGACTTTGGCTCAAGGTGCTCTACAGCTGTTTTTTGGCACTGTCCCTCTTGCCGCTGCGATGACGTGCGGGTCTCCATGACACGGTGCCCAGGACATGGATGCTTTAGTGAGGTGGCTCCCCTGGGGCGGATGCTGGTCCTGCCTTGTGCCTTACGTGTGCTCCTCCTTGTGTTCTTGCCCTCCAGATCGGTGGGGGACAAACCATCAACGCCAATATCTTGAACGTGGCCGTTGGGGTCATCAAGGAGTCCCGTCAGCTGAGGCTACAGCCGTTTAACGAGTATCGGAAGAGGTTTGGCATGAAGCCCTACAAGTCCTTTCAGGAGCTGACAGGTACGGCTGCGGGGCTGCCGCAGGAGCTCACGGGGCTGCGCGGATGCTCTGTGCCTGCAGGCAGGGGGTACGAGACCACGAGCTGCCCCCCAAACTGCTCACCCATCCAAGCCGGGCCGTGCCCCTCGCGCCGGGGCAGCCGGGGTTGATGGCTTCGCCGCAGGGCTCCTTCCTCACGCGGGGCTGGATGAGGTGCGGGGGGCAGTGCTGGGCTCGCCGCTGCCTGGGTTGCAGGAGCTGCCACGTTCCTGTTACCCACAGCAAGGCCAGTCCTTGCCGGGGGGCGATTCCCTTGCTAAAGCACTGTGATGTTCATTTGGTGCAGGAGAGGAAGAGAAAGCGGCGGAGCTGGAAGAGCTGTACGGAGACATCGATGCTCTGGAGTTTTATCCAGGCTTGCTGCTTGAGAAACCCCAACCCAATGGTATTTTTGGGGAAAGCATGGTAGAGATCGGAGCTCCGTTTTCCCTGAAGGGGCTTCTTGGAAACCCCATCTGCTCCCCAGAGTACTGGAAACCCAGTACATTCGGTGGAGCAACCGGCTTTGAGATAGTTAAGACAGCGTCGCTCGAGAAGCTCGTGTGCCTCAATGTGAAGAAGTGCCCGTACGTGGCGTTCCGTGTGCCGGATACTGTGGAAAACGGCAGCCCTCGGGGTGGTGGATCATCTACTGAGCTCTAGCACCAGGACAGCTTGCCCAGGTAGAGACCGTCCTTGCCCAGGCGCCGGCTGAGCCCAGCTCCCAGCCTGGCACTGACTATCCCGTTCCTTCTCGCAGGGAGCGGCGGGGACACAGGGACCTGCCCACCCCTGTGCCGAGCAGAAGCAGGACAGAAGATGGTCCCATCCTGGGCATCCTCCACACCAGCCCTCGAGGAGAGGCCGGTACCAGCTCTGTGAGAAGCTCGAGTGCCTCAGGAGTGTGGCTGCCACTGCTGTCCTCAGCAGCCCCGACTCTTTTGCTAGTGAATACCTTGCATGAAGCCAGCTTTGGGGTTCCCCAGGGGACGCCCGCCTCCCCGGAACGCTCCGGACTCCCCTCCGCTTCGTCACCCACTGCCCCCGCTGCTTTCCAGCACCAGGCCACCAGCAAGCCCCTCTTTCACAGGGACAGAGGAGCGCGGAGCCCGGGGACCCCTCCCGGTCCATCCACCCCAGCCTGCCCAGCACGTGGGCATAGCCGAGACACAGCCCAGAAGAAGGAGCCAAAGCAGTGTCTCTGCGGGAGGAGACCTGGGGAGGAGCATCAGATGGGGCCTCCCAGACCTCCTGCATTTCCCAGCTGCTGGGTGGGAGCCCAGCACCCACTGCTGGCTGCCCGTGCTGGGCTGCTCAGAGCAAGATGCTACCTCTGTGATGAAGTCTCTTCCATCCTATGATCATTACACTTCCCTGCATTAATAGCTCAGCAAATGACGTCCCCAAGGCACACAGACCTCGCTTCTGCCCTGCTCCAGAAATGCACGCCGATGTCAGCCCTCACTGACATAATGACATGGTAGCTGACAGCCACTGTCACCTGGATCCCCATCAGATCCTGATTCACCTCCAGGAAAATGGACATTTTTAAAAAATAAATGATTTTACCAACTCCTCCCATTTCCTCCAGCCATTTTCCAAGCTTTGTCTTGCCAGCGCCAGGCCCTGCAAGAGGGCAGGACGCTCAGGAGGCAGCAGGAGCTGGGGGAGAAGAAGAGTCCCTGGAGCATTGCTGGAAGGCTGGTGTCCCTGCTGGGACACAGCGGGGCCATGCAGCCAGCACTGTGCCGTGTAATTGCTGACTGCATCAAAAGAAGTAAACGGGGACCCCCCTCGAGATGCTTTGGTGGGGGGTCTCCGAGCCTGAGTCTCCTGTGAAGGTTTGAGCTGCGCTGCCCTCCATCCACCACCCCCCCACAGCCCTGTGCTGCGCTGCTCCGATGCTGATAACACGGCGCTTACATCCGACCCTGTGTATTTCTATCACATAAAATCTATCCACATGTAAATCTTGCTGGCCAGGTACTTTGTAGGCATGAAATAGCCACGGTCTGTAAGAGACCAGATGGCTGCGGTTTCCTCTGGTGTTGAGCTGGAGGAGGGAACCGCTCCTGGGCTCCTGCTCCATCCCAGCAGGACTTCCACCCGGCGTAGGGACTTCATGCCACGAGGCCGTGGGGGCTGCGCTGCTCCTCACGGGGTTCTCCCCCCTGTCCTCCTGGGCACTGCCGGCTGCTCCTCAGCCCATCACGCAAAACTGGGGGAGACAAGGGGAGAACCAGGGCAGGGAGTCCCAGTGCAGGGTGCTGCCTCAAACCCTGGGGCCAGCCAGAACCCAAGGAACTGGGCAGGCAGGGGCCAGGAGGACAACAGACGTGAGATTTCCAGGTAGCTATAGCCAGGGAGACACAGCTCCTACTCTCTGCTGCCTGTCCCTAAGGGGGGGTGAGGATGGATGAGGGTGTTGGCCGTTTGGGGATGGAGTGACAATCCTGTGATGTCCCACCTGCCCTGCAAGTTTCAATAATTGCTGGTCGCACCAGCTGATGTTTTCATCCCTGATCAAGCAAGTATGTCATGATCCAGACTCCTCAAGAGGGGGTCGTGAGGTACTTCCAGGCAATAATAAAACCGGTTGTAGGGAGGCGTTACGGGAATTTTAAACCAGGGAGATTTAAAGAGCTGGTGCCTTGGCAGGGATGCGTTAGGAGGATGTCATAGCAAGGGAACATCTGCAAGCAGAGACTCCCAAGGCAAGAGCCTTCTCACTCCCTCTCTTTAACCCTTCAGAAATGAGATGGCTTTACCAGGCTATCACCTGGATTTTAGTTTCCTAATGGCCTGGAGGGAGGCAGAGGCAGGCCCGACCCACGAAGGCACAGCGGGCTGGTTTGTTCACCTGGGTTGGCCCTGCCCGGGCAACTGCAGAGACCCCAGCCCGACCGCTCCCCCACAGCTTGCAGCACCGTGTAGCACAGAAGTGCTGAGTAGCAAGCCGAGAGGAGGACACGGTCCTTTCTCACCTCGTGGCTCCCTTTCCCCAGCTTTCCCCTTCCCTTCCCCTCTGGGTGGGAAGCCAGCGCATGGTGGTGCCAAAATGACCAACACCCGCTGACAGCCTGTTACATGGCAGTGTGGGGGGGTCTCTCCCCCAGGGTCTGCCCTGGCTGGTGACCCCCGAGAACCACGACCCTCGCTGCGCTTCCCTCGCTCAGCCAGCAATGCACCGCTTGTGAAAAGGCAAACGGCAGCAAATGGGGAGCAACACCCAGTCCAAAGACTGTTGGTGTGTCTCAAATCCACGCTGGGGTCCACGCGCCCCGTGTCTCCAGCCAGCCGGAGCCCACTGCCAGAATGTGCGTACGATTGCCCTTGCCCCTGCTCCAGCCTCGAGCATCCTCCATCATCTGGCTAAAGGCACGAGCCTGGCTCGTTTCAGTTAGACCACAAACATCCTGCTTTTGTCTGTAGCTATCGAGGGCTGCCAGCGCTGTTTTGGTACTGACCGATAAGCGTACGAGAGCCCATGGGGCACACAGAGAGCTGCCTAGGTGCCCTCTGCCACCGAGGAGGAACGTTTCACCGGGAACTAGCTCAGCTGAGCCAACACTGGCAAGCCTGGTATCTCTTCCAGTTGTGCCCCCAGCTCCCATACGGCACAGTCCAGGACAGCAAAGCATCTCCCTCCTGCACCTCACCCTTCTGAAAGCGGGAAAAGCTTTGAAATAGTTTCTTTGTAGGACCAACATGTACCAACACCAGGCACAGCATCCAACATGCTACTGAAACCTCCTCCGCCATGAGCCTGGGGACCCACAGCCCCGCACAGGGAGCTTCCCCCAGCCCAGCACTGCCAAGCCCTTGCGTTTGCTTTGCCAGTCTTCCAGCCATGGCAGTTTGTAGAAATCACTCACGTCCCCACCTCAACTTGTCCGTCTCGATGAGCAGCTGTGTCCGCAGTGGAAGACAGTAGTTTGCATCTAAACACGGTGTTTAGTCTGGTGCATCCACCAGCATCATCCAAGCAAGGCTCTAAGGGGCCCCCCGCCACTGCGAGCCCTGGGGATGGCTCCCCATCCTCTGTTTGAGCTCTTGGTAAACACAACTCACAGGACATCTTCTGAAGATTTAAACAAGCGCGTCTGAGGAGCCCAGCTGCAGCTCCCCCGTGCAGGGACGGACGTGGACGGGAGGACGGCGCTGCCTGAGTTCGTGCGGCGCGAGCAGCAACAATGAAAACATCTGTCTGTGGTTGTGCGACCTCTGAAGCGATGATTCACTGAGGTTATTGCTGACCAGAGCACACCGTACACAGAAGATCAATCATTTGCAATGCTTTTTCATGCAAAGCTGTCCTTACGGTGGAGGCAAGGGCAGAGGCTGCAGCCGGTTTCCCTCTCCGGGCAGCCCGTGCCCCTCTGGCCCCACACCTGAGCAAGATCCACGATGGGAAGTTGTCTAAACCCCATGGTGGCAAAAATCAGCAGGGCCCCAAGGCTGAATGGAAAAGCGATCCCCCATCTGCGTGAGCCCCCCGGGCTCCCCCAGCCCACCCCAGCAGGCCCCTTTGCAGCGTGAGTCACGCCAGCGATCGCACAGAAACGCTTGTTTGGATTTTCAGCGAAGGCGTATTTTGAACATTTTAGAAAGGAGTGGTAGATTGGAGGCCAAAAAAAAACTCCACTATAAACTTTTCTTTTCTAAACCTTGTCCCTTATTGCCTGGCACGCAGGTCAGCACCATGATTAAATGCCTGTGTTAAGGTCGCCCTGTGATTTCATTCCTGCCCTCACCAAGCAGCCGCCTGTGATTCCTCGTGCATTCGCATTCTGTGGCCAAATTCTGCTGTTTGTATTGAAACATCACTAAATGTGAACAAACTCAGGTGATTTTACACTCCTCTCTCCCAATGGAGAATTACACCCTGATGTAAAAAACACGGTTTCTGGCTGCCCTCTCTGCAGTACGCTGCTTTTTCCAAAACAAAATATTTCCCAGAGGCAATACAACCTACTTGACAAGTGTTTTTTTCAACTCCTATTTTTAGTAATTCTTGAAGATTAAAATCAGACATAGAGGTGACAGGCTTGGTACATGTACCTTCTTGAGCTGAAGGGTGTAAACCAGAGCAGGCTGCAGCCAAGGTGACGCACAGAACTGACCGACTGGAGAGCTGCTACCCGTGGGAAGAGCCAAACCCACCTGGGCCATGCTGGCACGTTTGTCCTGTGCTTGAGAAATAGCAGATAGAAAATGGGACAAAAAAAAAGGACAGACAGCAAAAACAGGGCATGTAACATCCCAGTAGAAGGAAGTCTTGTTTGTTAGATCTTAACCACGTGTTGACCTATAGTCATATTTTAGATATACAGCTAGTATAGATGTCTTGAAACATTTAAGTGATTGGTACCAACCTTATTTTCCAGGACCAGCTGCTTGCTTTCTGAGCTCTCTTGTCCTGTTGAAACAAACAGATTCAAGAAAGTTTGCTGTTATTTATGATTTTTAGATGCTGGCAGAATTGCATCCGAGAAATGTTAAAGCGTGAACAATGCCTGCACAGCTCTGCCAGTATGCGACAAGGTGACCCCAGTCGCTTTGCACCAGGGCTCCAGACTCCCTTGGCCTTTCACAAGGGATGTTCGTATCTCAGACCAATTTCATCGGAAAAAAGCGGCAGTTACCGGTGAGAGAACCGGGAGATGTGAAGGGACATAAACCCTCAGGCTGGTACCTGGGTTGACGTCCCCGTGCTGGCCCTGGACGCCCCGTCCCGTGGCCGGGGTCCCCGCAGACCCTCCTGCGGGTGGGGGCTGCCTGGGCTGCAGCTGAAACCCCTCCAGGAGGGGCACAGGGACACGTGGCTCCACGGCCGGGGAGAGCGGGTGGGCAAATCAACCCGTTCCTAACTTCAGCTGGTATCCAGGAGCACGCAGGACACCTGGCCAAGGCAAGGCGAGGTCTAGTGACAAAAGATTCGAGCGTACAGCCCCTTCAGCCACTGGTGTTGACTAATTTCTACCTCCCGCCACACCAGAGCTCTGCACCGTTCCAAAACCCGCTGCCCCAGTCAAACAGCTCGCTGCCAAGAGCCCTGTTACGTGCCAGGGAAGCTGCTGTGCCAGAAAAGATAGATGAAACATCTTTGACAAAATTAAAAAACATCCTTTATTCATTTAGTAGGAATGCATCGATGTAAATGAAGTTGACAGAGTACAACGGCTTTGGGGGAAGGGGGAGGCACCTGGATCACACCGAAAGCCTGACGCCCTTGATGCCAAGCTGCATGCTTCAAAACGGTTTTATTTTTATGTAGGTGTTCGTACAATTTCATTTTCACTTTAGTCTCCCCTGCGTGAATATAAATACACCCCAATTCTTAATCTGCAGGTCAGGATCACATCTAAAATTAGCGAAATTTTACAGATACAGCGTTGGTATGAGTTGTAGTTTTTATTTGTATTGAGTGGATAGGACACACACACACACAGATTAGTAACTAGCCTATTCTCAATTAGTTTTGTCTTATTGTTTAATGCACATTAAGAATGTTGGTTTTTTAGGGCACAGCATTACCAGTTGGCCAGTTTGGAAGGATTTAGCTTCAAGAATGGACAGAAGCGTCCGCAGCAGTGCCGCCAGCCCCCCGTCCTCCTCAGAGCGGTGCTGCCTGTGCCGAGCACCAGACCCAGCACCACAGCACATCTTTTCTACCCCCCGCTCTCCCTTGTGCTTATTATATTCTTCCAGATCAATGATTAACTGGATTCTGACCTTTTTATCTTTTTGCTATGGGCATTGCAAACCATCTATCACATACCTGAGCACTGGAGATTAATAGCCAGGAGTCACCTTGCTGCAGGCCAGCCGACACGGAGCAGCAGGGGAGGGTTTGATCCTATTACAGTTTTGCTGCCACAGTGGCAAAAAAAAAAAAAAAAAAAAAAAGCACTTTATAAAAATAAAAATTCAAAGCAACTCAAGCAGTCAACTCTCCCCTGACCTCCTC